GGTGTTTCACTGCATGGATGGGTTAAAATGCGAAGGTGAAATTTCCCCATTGTGGGACTAATAAGGGTCACTTAACATAAACAAAACATGTAATTTTGCATACATACTGTATCACCTCTTTATCAGGGACATGCAGTAATGCAGAGAACACAGTTATAAAGACGTTTTATGAGAACCACGATGGTTATTCAGATATTGTTGTTCAACTGTCTTACTGTGGCTTTACTCTCTGAACAGATGCTTTGAGGAATCCAGCTTGAGTGCAGTCCCTATAAACATTTATGGTCTACTCAACAAAGTCATTTGAGGTCATAAAAGATGGGGAATAAAATGAAAACCACAGCCAATGCTTGTTCTCAACATGTGATACATTGAGTATACTTCAAATGTGTACATCATTTCCACACAAATTGAGTACTCTGTCCAAAGAAAAACAAGTGTCTTAGTAACTTAACAGGAGAAAGCAATGGTAAGCGATGATGTACTACATTGGTGTCACTTTTTACTCACTGTTGATTCATACACATTTAAATTAGATATACTCAGTGCATCATTTCAGTGTGCGTTAACCTAAAGGTTTAGAAAGTATTCATATAACATGGTTTATATTAAGTTATTTTAGATACCTAACACATTGGATTCTGTGTTTGCTGGTTTCTGGGCTCTATAAAGCCAGCTGGTGAACACATACAGTATGTAATGGTTTGATTGCAGGTAATCCTTCTTTTCAGTGTAGTCTGACTCCTACGTGAGAACTCAGTCTAACTGATAATCTGTTACGCAAAGTCAGTGCTGATCCAGGATTTCTTCTCACACACTGAGTTCACTGACACCAGGTTCAGCTGCGACAGCTGTGTGTGTTGTGACGCTAACACACTCTGTCTCGTCACGTGTGACCTCAATGCCACATGGTGGTCATTTTGAAAAAGCCAAAAACAGACCATGGTCACTTTTCCACCAATCAGATGGTCCTTTTCACCTGCAAAAACAATTTTTCCTCCATCCACAGGCCTGGATATTGGCCCAGCCCAAGAGTTGAGGCAACAATAACACGTCATACCTTATTCTTTTTTATTTATTTATCTTATCTGACCATTTTTCAACCTCTCTTTATCCCTTAAAATGGAACAGGCTATTTCTTTTACTGTGCCTTTAAGACTGGTATATGTAAATGACGTCTGTTCTGATTGGCTACCCTGTATTGTGCATTATTTAAGAACAAATTCAGGTTGAAATACTCTTTATAACTTCGGTGTGAATTGATAAACTGCTGTAGGCCGAATAGGCAGATATGATGGTGTATGTGACATCACAAAAACTGAATTCAAAACAGCTTACAGTAACAGCGTACTCCCCTGTATAGACTGGGGAGTGGATAGTGTGGCACAATGCCAAATGTTTTATTTATAAAAAGAGGAAAATTCAGTTTTCCATGTTGTGGACCCTTTTATGTATTTTTCCTCAAAGCTCCAGGATGTGGCTGGCACACATTTCACACTGATCCCAGTGTCTCATTGTGCAATCTGATTCAGCACACAAAAGGTTAAGAATGAGTTTGAGCCTGGAGGTATTTCTTGCTTGTAGAGACTAACCATGCACTGTCCTGACATATTCAAATTCTTTAAAGAGCTTTTATGCGTCCGGCCTGCTGCTGCACAGGCTGCCCAAGAAGTAAAATATATCTGAACATAAGATACAGATGGTACCATGAATGTTGTTTTCAAGCAAATACCATGTAGTGCCAAGGACAGTATTCTAACATACCTACCGGTGCTTGTAAAAGGAAAACTGTTAGTTTTGTGATTTCACAGTAAAATCAAAAGTTTCTATTTTAAAGTCTTTGCATTTGTGTCACAGGGCTCATCAAAAACTGAATGTTCCTCACTTTTTTAAAAAAGATTTTGATGTAGTAAATGCTGTATTTTCAAAACACATAGTTCACTTTTCACCCCATACAGGACATATATGGAAACAAAGCAGATAAAACTAGCCATTTAGAATTCATTGTTTCTGTGATGTCACAAAAACAAACACATTTACACATATGCAATATTCAGCTTATTGCAAGTTAGACCAACCCATTCAAGCTGAAGTTATAGGGAGCTATAAGGATTTCAAGGGTAAGTTGAGATTGAGGTCTCTGGGGTTCAAATGTAAGTCGAGTCTTACATCTCTGGGGTTCGAATGTGAGTCAAGTCTCAAATCTCTAGGGTTCGTCTCCTGGATGAGTCTCAAGTCTCTGGAGTACAAGTGTGAGTTGAGTCTCAAGTTTCTGGGGTTTGTTTGAGAGTCAAGTCTCAAGTCTCTGGGGTTCAAGTGTGAGTCGAGTCTCAAGTCTCTGGGGTTCGAATGCAAGTTGAGTCTTGAGTCTTTGAGGTTCGAGTGAGAGTCGGGTGTGTCAAGTCACTGGGGTTAGAGTCTGAGTTGAGTTTCGAGTCTCTGGGGTTTGAGCATGAGTCAAATCTTGAGTCTATAGAGAAGAAGGTTAATTTAGTTTAGCCACAGGCACTACATAGAACAAAAGTACGCCCTACTAAAATACTATCACGTTTAACACAGCTTCAAGTAAAAAGCTTTTCATTATACTCTCTAATTTCTGTGGTTCAAGTGCAAGTTAAGTCTTAAGTCTCTGGAGTTCGAGTACACGATGAGCCTCAAATCTCTAAGGTTTGAGTACATGTTGAGTCTCAAATATCTGGGGTTCAAGTGCGAGTCAGGTCTCAAGTCTCTAGGGTTCAAGTGCAAGTCAGGTCTCAAGTCTCTGTGGTTTGAGTGCAAGTTGGGTATCATGTCTCTGGGGTTCGAGTGCATGTTGAGTCTCAAGTTTCTGAGGGTTCGAGAGCGAGTCAGGTCTCAAGTTTCTGGGGTTTGAGTGCGAGTCAGATCTTATGTCCCTGATATTCGAGTGCAAGTTGAGTATCAAGTCACTGGGGTTTGAGTTCGAGTCAAGTCTCAAGTCTCTGGGGTTCGAGTGCAAGTCGAGTCTCAAGTCTCTGAGCTCCGAGAGACAGTCAGGTCTCAAGTCTTTGGGGTCTGAGTGCAAGTCAGGTCTCAAGTCTCTGTGGTTCGAGTGCAAGTTGGGTATCACGTCTCTGGGGTTCGAGTGCATGTTGAGTCTCAAGTCTCTGAGCTTCGAGAGAGAGTCAGATCTCAAGTCTCTGATATTCGAGTGCAAGTTGAGTATCAAGTCACTGGGGTTTGAGTGTGAGTCAGGTCTCAAGTCTTTGGGGTTCGAGTGCGAGTCGAGTCTCAAGTCTCTGAGCTTCGAGAGAGAGTGAGGTCTCAAGTCTCTGGGGTTTGAGTGCAAGTCCGATCTCAAGTCTCTGGGGTTCAAGTGCAAGTCGGGTCTCAAGTCTCTGAGGTTCGAATGCGAGTCGTGTCTCAAGTCTCTGGGGTTTGAGTGCGAGTCAAGTCTCAAGTCTCTGAGGTTTAATCAGTTTTGTTTGTGTTTTTTTAGGCTAGACTTTCATGAGTGTTCAGTCTTCAGTCTGACTTGAGTTGTGAGTCACTTAAGGGAAAGTCATTGACTCGTGTCGCCATCTCTAGCTCCATCTGTTTTGTAGGTCCACCTAATAGATGTACAAGTATAGATTGTAGCTCATTCATCATTGGGAAATTTCTGACCACAGGACCAGAAATTATTTGGCTGGTGGCTCATTCTCAGCACAGCAGTGACGGTAGTGGCATGATAGTGTGTGGTACAAGTGTATTGGGCGCAGCGGTGTTGCGTCAGTGTCACTGCTGTGCAGAGAATGGTCCATTACCCAAATGGCATTTCAAGAGCAACTCTGTGGTCGGAAACTGACCTTTGAAGTAGAGCTAATACAAATTGTGTATCAACAGATTGGCCACAGTCTACACCACTTGAAGTAAAGTTTCTAATAACAGTCTTAAAAAAGGTGGTCTAACGATTCGTCATATGACAATTGAGGGATATTTGTAAGTAGTCACACTCTTAGATCTACACTGCAGGCCAGTAGGACCTGGCCTGCTTGTACATTCCCTTTTTAAAAATGAAAATACATTCATCTGAGAACATGTACACTGTTAGAAATAAAGGTTCTATGCAGGTACATTTTTACGCAACAAGGTACAAACAATGTAAATGTGCCCTCAAAGGTACAACAGTGGTTTTAGGGTCCAGTTGTGTATCTTAAATAAAGTTTTATATAAAGTTTTTCCAGGTGAAAAGTACATATTTGTACCTTTTCATAACCGAATGTTTTAAAACAGAGCAATAAAATAAAAAGCCTGGAGACGAGACGGGGTGTGTGGAGTCAGTACAACTTAGAAAATATCATTTCAATGGATTATGGTACAGTTATGTTCCCTGACTAAAGGTACTGAGATGTACCCTTGATGGGACCACCCCTGTGACGAGAGGGGTACTGCCCCAGCGACACTTTCATACCTTTTTTCTGAGAGTGTAAGTGACCATTTTTTATGATTTTTAATGTTTAAATCTACTTAATAAGGTACCATTTAAATCGTGACATCTGGCAGGCTGATAAAACGCAGACCTCTCCAATCTTGCAAAATGTTGAAATATGAAAATAAGGTATTTGACTGAGCTTCCACTGCATTCCAGAGACCAGATTGTACTTGCATATTTGCAGAGCTGACTGAATGCCAGTAGCTTGCAAGATGGCACTGCGTGTGTGAACAGGGCAAGGAACCTTTTATTTCTGGAAGGTGAAAAGTATTCCTGACCTGCAGACCCAACTGTAACCCGTCAAATACAGTGTGCACCGGAGCAGAGTGTGAGCAGGGAGAGAACACGAGAAAGAACAGCAGAATACTTGTTTAACCTTTCATTTGATTATAACACTCACACACTGTTGCCTAGAGGCTTGGAAGCTAAGTCTTATGACACAAATCACTAATGGGCTCAACAGACGGCTCTTTTTCCTCAAGGTTTTATTGGAGAAATGGTGCGCAGCAGACCATACCTGATTGTTTAATCATTAATAAGGGAAAGGCCACACTTTCTGGCCAGGGCAGTGAACTAAAACTGAGGTGACTGTGACTTTTGATTGTGTTATTTTGGGTCATTTTCTCCTCATGAACGTCTTTGAAAGATATGGTGAGTGAAATTCGATATTATTTACAAACAATCTCTAAACAAATTCATTGTAGGTAGCAAAAAGCCTTTGAGCTATTTCAGCATGGCAACACATAGCCTGCTCAGTGGTCCAGCTCTGCTGAGTCATCAGTACAGTTGGAACCTCAATCACAACTTTTAATGGGTACACTTGGAATAAGGTCCATGTGTGAATATCTGCATAAAGCTGTTGTTGAGCCTGCTGTAGGGCACATTTCCCAGAACTTGATCTTGTGTTTGGTCTCATGAATCTTGCTAATATGCAGCTCTGGACTCAAGTTATATGGATTTGATGGATTTGAAATGAAATTACTATTCAAACTGGACTGGTTTTAGCAGAGGAGGCCCTGTAACCTATTTTTAAGGGATTTGACTGGCGGATTCATATGAGAAGAAAGATTTGTGTAAATTTGCTCCGATAGACCAGTTCGAAACAGCATATAACCAGTGTGAACATTCAATAACAATAACAACAATAACATGCGGCTATGACTATTAGCCTGTTCTGTAATTAGGCTCCAGGATGCCGATTCAAACAATATTACTTTTAGAAAAGGAGCTCAGAGTTGAGCAAATTATAAAAGGCAATGTGCTCTGGAAATGTGTACTGATAATACACCAAAACAATGATGTATTAAAATAACTAATTTTGTCAGTAATCACTTAAATTACAGTAAAACTCTCCAGGTAAATCTAGCTACTCTTTAATCTTGAGTAAAGCCAAAGACGTGGACCCCTTGAATGCACAGGATCTGTGCATTTCCATGTATACAAACCCAATTCCATGAATGTTGGGATAGTAGGAAAAATGCAAATATAAACAGATAGCAATGATTTGCACATCTTTGTTGATCTGTTTTCAGCTGAAAACAATACAAAGACAAGATATTATATGTTTCAACTAGTAAACTCATTGTTTGAATATTTATGCTTATTCTAATTGTGATGCCTGCAACACATTTCATCACCTTTCCTTTTACCAATGTTTAGCGATCATTTGGGAACTGATAACATCAATTATTGTAGTTGTGAAAGTAGATTTTTTCTCATTCCTTCTTGATATAACACTCCAGCTGCTCAACAGTCTCTGTTGTTTTATATTGTGCTTCATAAGGCACCACACGTTTTCAAAGAAAAACAGGTCTGGACAGCAGGCAGGCCAGCCTAGCACCTATACTCTCTTACTGTGAAGGTACACCATTGTAATGTGCATAATGTGTCTTGTCTTGTCTTGGCACTGTCTTGCTGAAACAAGTAGAGACGTCCCTGAAAAAGACGTCATTTTGAAAGTAGCATAATAGTCTGAACTTGCATTTGTGGATGCAGCAACAAACTATATTTACTGACAAGGATTTTCCGAGTATTCCCGAGCCCATGTGATTATATAAATTACAAAAGCATGTCGGTTGTTTAATGCTGTGCCTTCTAAAGGATTGAAGGTCATGAGCATTCAGTATTGGTTTTCAGCCTTGCCGTTAAGGATGTTATGGACTGCAGATGGTGAAATTCCTAAATTCCTTGCAATCATTCCTTGAGAAACATTGTTCTTAAACTGTTGGACTATTCGCTTACACAGTTTTTCACAAAATGGCAACTAAGCCATTCGTGAATTAAGCCATTCGTGAATGCTCCTTTTATACCCAACGATTATAGCATGACCTGTTCCCTATTTACTTGTCTATCTGTGCAAGGTTCCATGGTCATTCCATAAATTTCCCAGTCTTACACTGCCCTCTCCCAACTTTTTGGAATTTGTTGCAGGCATCAAATTTGGCATTAGTGTATTTTTACAAAAATAATAAAGTTGATGTGGTAAAATATTAAATATCTCCTCTTTGTACTGTTTTGAATTAAAACCTGTAAAAGGCTTACAAAGATTTACAAATCACCTTTGCATTTTATCTTCTGTCCCAGCCTTTATGAAATTTGGGAATTGTTCTTAGTAATAAGCCTTATGGTAGTTAGCCTGGGCATTTGAGGGGTTAAGGAAAAAATGTGTTATTGTTGTTACCATACCTGGGCTGGTTCAAACTCCAGGCCTGTGGTTGGAGGAAAACTTGTTTTTGAAGGACCTTCTTATTGGTGGAGAAGTGACCACCTTAGTCCTGTGATCACTGTCTCTCAAAATAACTGAAGTGCAAACGGTGCTTTAGTTTATATTTTCATTATAACACCAAATCCTTGAGCAACCACTGATCAGATAACAGTGACATTTAATCGAGCCAACCTGAAGGTGAACCATGGTGGAGGATGTTTACTGAAAACACGGCTGGTATGCCAAACGTCTCAGTCTGCTGTGATGTTCTTCCTCCTCTTTCAACACCTTTTACACATCAGTCATTCACACTACATCCCTCTACAAACAGGCCGTGAGAGGCTTTCAGAGAGGGAAATGCTCATACAGACACTGCTTCTCTGTTTGCACAGCAGATTTTCTTGCATATTGCCAGAACTTAGAGCACATACACAGGTTTGCAGCTCTGCTTTTATACAATGTCAGCATTTGGGGTCATTCATAAGCCCCACTGCTGTCCAGAAAAGCTCATGTATGTCCAATTTTTTTTCTATTTTTCCTTTCTACATCATTTGAACAGCAGATGTCTTTTACATTGTGTGAAAAATTCTTGATGAATGGACCAATAGAAATGCTCTGTGACTTAAATGAATGAAACTCTCTTTACATTAACTTAGATTCAAAGTTAAGAACATTTTTGCCCTCCTTTGTACAGTCATATGCAAAAGATTGGGCACCTGGTCAACTGAAATGGTGTGTTAATTGTCTAAATGAAAGTTTGTGAGTTCAGACCATGCCTTCAACATGTGGTGGCAGTATGAGAGAAGACTGATTGAGGGAGGAGGGAGAACTCTTGAGAACTTGGGCTAGTGTTCTGGGCAGCTTCTGCCCTGTAGCTAGAAGGCCAGACTCCCCCTCATAGCTGTAGCAGGACTGGTGTAGGACTGAGGAACAGGGAGGGCTTGGGGTGGCAGTGGGGATTGCGAACGCTTCATCACAGGGAATGGAAGGTGAGGATGTGAATCTATTGGGCGTTAGATCGGAAGAAGGAGGGGTTTCAGGCGTGTTCCTCCCTCCAAACTTCAGTTATAACATAACTACATTAAGTTAACACATCCTCTACAGAGAACAAACTGCACATTTCAATGCACCATTACAGTTTACCTGCTGAATTTAACGTATTAGGGAAAAAATGAACATACAGTGTGGCCTATGCAAAACTTAAGACACGTATAAGATTTTATGTTTTATTTTTTCCAATATGTTAAACTCAGCAATCAAAAGACATTGTGTATTAGCATATGCAGAATAGTTTTTTTCCTGCAGTTTATTTTTTTTTACTTCTTACACTTTTTGAGAACACCAGCGGTCCTTCACATTGTGTGAACACTTCAAAATGAACGGACCAATAAGAACAGTCCAAAATGGCTTGGTTTAAAATGTTATGACATTAATGCACAATGAGGTTAAGAAGTTTTTTCCTTTCCTATTTTTATTCTGTCTTATTTTTATTTTTATTTTCTTAAGGCATTGCAGGTCGGTCCTGTTTCATCCCTGGTTTTTAGGACAGTTTTGTCCTAAAAACATACAAAAACAAACATGCACATGCACAAATAGACAGAGGCAGAGAGAGAGGCTGGTTTGCAAACTTGCTCTCTCATTGGCTGTAAAAAAAGGAGGGTACTTGTGAAAGGTAAACACAGTTGTGACAGACCCTCAGAGAGGATCATATGATAGACCGAAATGACTGCATGTGTGTGAGGGAGAATCGCACTAGTCGATGGTAAAAGTAGGACACAGTTCTGATCTTAGTCCAATACTCTGCACGTCATCTTCAGAGCTGTCATTACATCCAATACAGCAGTGAAAAACAACCATTATTATACTAAACACCTCTGTATTACATACATCATACACACATACATGTTCTCAGAAATCATACATGACTTCGTTACAAAAAGGCCAGCACCAACCAATCAGGAAGGTCAGGCTCTTGAGTTCAACAAGCTCAGTATTCACTGTATTCCCACTTTGACTTTATTAAAGCTTCCCATTCATTTTAGGAGGCTTTCTTTCATAATTTCAAAAAAATCTGCAGGAATATTTTCCACACTTCAAAGTTCAGTCTTAGAAGTTGGTTGCATTTTCTGCTTTGCATGATACAAGTAATCCTAAACACATTCAGCGATGTTGAGGTCTGGACTCTGGGGTGGTCAGTCCATTGTTCTGAGAACACCAGCAGCTTCTTTGCTTGAATTCTTCTTTTGTGTCTATTCCCTTTCTTAAATACATCTTCTTGACAGCTTCACATCCTTTCAGACCCATAGTGCTGAGTTGTCTTCTCACATTGGAAGGATGGACAGAAACACCTGTGGATTTTTTCAGATCTAAAGGAAGAGTGGAGCTTGATTTTCTCCCCTCTCTCAAAAATGAAAGCTTTAAGTGTTGTTTATCTGATGTGTACAGTTTTGGTGTCTACCAGGTCTTATACATAGTTATTAAGAGTCTCATTTTCTTTGTATCTTTTAATGATTTTTAAACTCCAGTTTTGGAAACTCTTGTCTTTCACTTCACATTCACTCAAACTGGCCCAGTTTGAGCTTCCTGGCTGAGCCAGTGGGGTTTGGATTTCATTTCTGCTGGTTTTTGATGGAGGCTCTGATACCATGAATCTGAATAGGTTGCCCAGGGCCTCTGGAAGAGAATCAGCCCCCACAGTATCGCAGATCCACCAACATACTTTACACTGGGGATGAGGTACTTTTCTGCATGGCTACCCTTGGAGATTCTTTGTCCACCTGAACCCTCCTCCTCACTGTGCATGGGGTCAGTAAAGACATACATCCTCTTTGTTCTGGCAGATTCTTAACATCCCTTGTTGTTTTAAGCTTCCTAACTACTTAACTTTCTTGTAGCCATTTCCTGATTTGTGAAACAACCTTTTGTCGCACATCACTGCTGTATTCTCTGGTCTTTCTCATAGTGATCAATGACTGAGGGCATTTGGCTTGTGTTTCATCTCATATATATTCCCTAGTGAAACAGGAAGTCATGGCTGACCATTTAAGTGCTCCAAATTGCTCAGGTGAACTTACAAATATAAAATATGGATAGGAATACACTGCAGGTAGAATTGTAAGGGGTGCCAACAATTGCGGAACACATAGATTAAAAAAAAAAAAATTTCATGACAAAATTTAGTTTTGTCTTCCAATCATGATACCTTAAATAATGTTAGATTTTACCTAATATTTTGAATGAAAGATCAGTAGTTAAGTAATTAAGAGTATTTTTCCAGCTCATTTTGCTCAGGATTACCAGGGGTGCCAATATTGTTGAGGGTACTGTACATATGTTCCCTTAAGCTTACAGATGAGTTTTTATATTATGCAGTTGTGAGGTGAATAGTGTGATTTACAGTTCAACAACCTCTATTCACATCTGCTGCCTGAGTTTGCTCACTTGGCTTTGCTGCTGAAGGCTACAGTGTTGCGATGCTTATGTGCTGCACATTTAGTACTGCTTATGCAAATATAGTGCTGCTTTTAGACCATTTCAACAAACATCTGTGTCTCTCTGTTCTTCCAGAATATGTTGCTATCTTTACCTACAGCTGTGCATAATGCCTGATAATAGAGTGCTGTTTGTTTCTGTTGATGAATCTGCTTCAGGAAGCTTCTGCTTTTCACCTGCATTTTTAAACCTGCATTTTCCAAATAGATTACTAGTGTTTACCTGCCCAGCCCACAAAAATCCTGGCAGGGTTCTCTCATGCCTGATAAAGCAGCTTGTTAATAGAGACTTAACATTTCCTTGTGTATATACTTTCACATGTATGTACAAATATGTGTACAAGTAAAGCATAAATACAAGCATAAATAATGCATGAATTGATGGAAATATGGTGCCACTATTTCTATTTAATAAAGAAAAGTTAATATTGATTGTAGTACTGAAACTGTATGCATGCATGTGCATGCATGTGTGCACATTTCTGCACAGCGACAGCGTGCTTTGTAGTGAGCATGTTTGTCCTGTCAGTCACTGGAGCCGCCATGCAGACTGTCCTGCTTCTGTGCCCAGTGGAGTGGATTTCCATCTGGACGCTCACAGGTTGGAGAAGTGAGCAGTGGAACTTTCCATATCAGTGTGCACATCTTTTCTAGTGAATATGAATGTCTCTCAACACTTTGTCTCCTACATTACATGAAGAGAACTGATCCGCAAATGTATGTAGAAAATTAGCACTTACCTCCGTGGCATTATCTTACAGTCCTCTACAGTACTGTGCAATAGTCAGAGACCAATGTTTATTTATTTAATTTCCAGTCAAAACAGCCATTATTTACAAGTTATTCACTTTTTCAGGAGATATCTCTGAGGAGATTAGATATAAAACTAGAAATGTGCAATATCTGAAGGAAACGCAAAATGGTTCCCACCACCTTAAATCTCCTGCTACCTTAAATCCAGCATCACCTAAAATACACTGCTACCTAAAATCTCCTGCCACCTAAAAAGTGTTTGTGTGGTGTATGTGTGTGTGTTTGGTGTGTTATGTGTGGTGTGTTCAGTATGTGTATGTGGTGTGTGTGCAGTGTGTGTGTGATGTGTGGTGTGTTGAGTGTGTTTGTGGAGTGTGTGCTGTGTTAAGTGTGTTTGTGTATTTGTATCATCATGACACAAGAAAGGTGCCAAAACTTTTGCACTCAATTCATTTCTATGGGAAAAAAATCTGCAAAATTCCATTGCTACATGGAAACCGTTCAGCCCGAATCACACAATCAGACCATACAATCTAGGGTTGGAACAGTGTGGATATCTCGAAAACTGCGGGACGAGTTATACGGCAAAAAATCTGGCAAAACAAAATATATTATAGTTGCTTTGCAATGCGCAAGCATAATAATGCACTTGCATAAAGAAGAGGAAAGTGAATGGAAAAAAACTGTTAAAAAAACTGGAGTTTGACAAATTATTAAAAGATACAAAATACATATAGAATAAAATGGGACTCCTAACAACCATGCAAGGCCTGGTAGACCACCAAAACTGACCACACAGATGGTGCACCCCAGAGTCCAGACCTCCACATCAGTGAATGTACTTGAGACTACTTGAATCAAGAGAAGCAGAAAATGTGACTAACTTCTAAGACTGAACTTTGGAAAAATATCCCTGCAGATTTCTTTGAAAAACTGGCAGTATGTCTCCAGAGAAAGTTGGAAGCTGTAATAAAGACATAGAGTGGACATACTAAATAAAAAAACAAGATAATAATATCACATAATTGGGGCTTCTGCATCATTTCCTTTCAAACATAAGTCTTCTGCTTTTTTTCCTGACTCCTGAAAAATGTAGAATGCAATAGAGTAAATGAGAGGCGGTCTCTGACTTGTGCACACCACTGTATGTCAGCTGGTTTCATAACAGGACAGCCCCTATGAAATTGACATGTCAGTTATATTTCATAATATACACAGAACAATGTATTACTTTTGTATGGGAACATCCTAATGAACCAGTATTCGTGCGCATGTCCATTGTCATGTCAGTGGTTATGCTTTTTAAAAGCTAGAATTTTAAGAAGTTTCATAAAACCCAATACATGCCAGTGGCTCTGTGTGCAATTGTGCTCTCTGGCCACTTATTATGAATAATTGTAGGAACTTTGACAAAGAGTTTAACATTCAGGTACAGATCAGCTGAAAGTAGGTCATTAGAGTCGAATGAGGGAAAGAACAAATGGCTGTGCTTCTTGGGCACTGGCCTCTTTTCAGCAGACTGACCTCTTCTGAACTGTCACCATGAAGCTATCTCACTTCTTATGTAACTCACATCCAACAGCTCTCTGTTTTCTTAGCCATCCCTCTGATCGACCATGCAGCCAGCCAACGCCCCCTCCCTCTCGCTCTCTCTCTCTCTCACACACACACATACACACACACACACACAGACACGCACACACACAGTGCGTTTGTTCAAAAGCTGTATGTATTTCCACCTCTTTGTCTACACAATTAGGAAAAAAAGAAATAAAAACATTATTTCAAATATATTTACATTAATGACAACCACCATAATCATTTGTTTTGAACCAGTTTTAAACTTGAAAGAGCTTCACTGAAGGCCTTTAGACCAAAAAGGGGCATCTACTGACCAGCGCAAGCAAACAGTTTGCTTATATAAACAACATAAAATAAGTAACTGATATTTATACGTTTCTTAAATTAAAACAGTGACAGTAAAGCAACTTCTGAATAAAGTGTAATTATATAATCTCCTCCATAGGGTTTTAAAATATATGAAATGCCTGCGCCCTCTAGTGGATAATTTCGTTAGTAGTGATCAGTCTTGGTGCAGTTGCCTTAACACATACAAAGGGCCTGTACTGGTCAGAGAGCTTCCAGATACTCTAACCCAAAATTGTTCTAGGCATTCTGTGATTGAGATACAGCAAAACACTAAGTGACTGTTGAGCGTCAGCTCAGGCAAATGTGTGGTCAGTGCAAACGAGAGACCCTGATTCCTCTGGTTAGTGGTGAGACAACAGTTAATGTAGTGGACAATGATGGGAAGAAATAAAAATAAAATACAGTGAAGATTGTACACTGTCAAAAGTGTGCAGGACTGGACAGGGACAGACGTTTTTACAACGCAGTCCATCTTTGCGACCAGACAAAATATTTTATTCACCGAAGTAACATATTGCCAAATAAAACCTTGTTTCTCTGAAAAGGTGACTGTACAGGAGGAGGAAATAAACATTCTTAACTTCTAACGCAAATTAGTCATTTTGGAGCATTTCTATTGGTCCACTCATCATGAAATACTCTGATCATGAAAAGGACAGCTGCCGTTTTCAAATGGAAAGGAAAGGGAAATAGAAAGAGGAGTTAAAGGTTCTGATATTATAGTGACAATATGTACAGTTACAGACATAAACTACCTTCCCAATCCAGCCTAATGTACCATGTCTAATGTTCAGCTTCCTTCTTCTGTGTCTCTGGCAGCTCCTTCACCCCCTCCTCTTCTGAATGCTGCTTCCAGTCACCACTTATTTTTCCTGATTTAAGGTAAGCGTTAAACCCCTCCAGCAGATCGATTGAGTGGTTGATGACTAAAGCCAGCCAGGCCAGGCCAAAAAATATCCACACTCCCATGATACAGCCATACCAGTCTGGGTAGTCCTTATCAGGGTTATAATCTGAAAGACAGAATGTGATGAAATGGCTTAAAAGTAGTGAAGTAAAACAGCCTGTTTTATGTTTCAAGCCATTGGCAAGAGTGGTGTGTTTGTTTTAGTAATATTTATGATAAAAAAGTCCTGACTTTCAGAAAACCAGGAACAAACAAGGCTAAATTACAGGATCAACAAAATGGTCCTGACTAAAGTTTGTCTACTTATATTATATATCAGACATAACATTATGTCCTTGTTTCTATGCTCATTGTCCACTTTATCAGCTCCACTTACTATAAAGGTGCACTTTGTAGTTCTACAGTTACAGACTGTTGTCCATCTGTTTCTCTATATACTTTGTTAGCCCCCTATTACCCTGTTCTTCAGTGGTCAGGACCCCCATGGACCCTCACACAGCAGGTACTATTTGGCTGGTGGGTCATTCTCAGCACTGCAGTAACACTGATATGGTGGTGGTGTGTTAGTGTGTGTTGCGCTGGTACGAGTGGATCAGACACAGCAGTGCTGCTGGAGTTTTTAAACACTGTGTCCACTCACTGTCCACTCTATTAGACACTCCTACCTTGTCGGTCCACCTTGTAGATGTAAAGTCAGAGACGATAGCTCATCAGCTGCTGCACAGTTTGTGTTGGTCATCCTCTAGTCCTTCATCAGTGGTCACAGGACGCTGCCCACAGGATGATGTTGGCTGGATATTTTTGGTTGGTGGACTATTCTCAGTCCAGCAGTGACACTGAGGTGTTTAAAAACTCCAGCAGCACAACACACACTAACACACCACCACCATGTGTTACTGCAGTGCTGAGAGTGACCCACCACCCAAATAGTACCTGCTCTGTGAGGGTCCATGGGGGTCCTGACCACTGAAGAACAGGGTAAAAGGGGGCTAACAAAGTATGCAGAGAAACAGATGGACTACAGGTGCAGGTGTAAAGATCTGAGCAACTGTAATAAGAGGCAAATGGTTATGGCCAGACAACGGGGTCAGAGCATCTCCAAAACAGCACGGAAGGCTATCCCATTCGGTCTGAAGTGACAGAAGGGCTTCTGTGGCAAAGGCTACAGAAATTTTAAACAGTTACATGTGGAATGTGTCACAACATACAACGTATCACACCCAGCTATGTTTGGGACTGCATAGCCACAGACCTGGCACAGAGTGCCCATGCTAACACCTGTCCACTGTCAAAATCCACTGGACCTTGGAGCAATAGAAGAAGGTCACCTGTCTGATGAGTCCCATTTTTTTATATCACATGGACGGCTGGGAACGTGCCATTTATCTGGGGAAGTGATGGCACCAAGACGCACTATGGGAACAAGACAAGCTGGTGGAGGGAGTGTGATTCTCTGGGCGATGTTCTGCTGGGAAACTCTGGGTCCAGGTATTTATGTGGACATCAATTTGACGCGTCCCACTTGCCTAAACATCCTGGCATACCAGGCACATTGCAGTGGCCTCTTTCAGCCGGACAATGCACCCTACAACACTGTTTGGGAAAGGTTTGGGGAACATGATGAATAGTTCAAAATGTTGCCCTGGCCTTCGAATTCCTCATATCACAATCTGATGGAGCATCTGTAGGATGTGCCAGAACAAGAAGTCTGATCTGCAGTGGCTCCACCTCCCAACTTACGGGACTTAAAGGATCTGCTGCTAACATTTTGGTGCCAGATACCACAGGGCACCTTCAGAGGTTTTGTAGAGTCCATCCCTCAGTGGGTCAGAGCGGTTTTCCAGCACATGGAGGACCAACAGAAAATTATGCATGATGTTTTGGCTCATCGGTGTGTATATAAGTCATCATTTTTACTTATATATATATATATATATATATATATATATATATATATATATAGTGTAAATGGGATATGTCCTCATGTCCTAACAAGTAAAGAAAACAAGTGTGCCAATCCCAGGACTTTACCTGCAACATAGTCTCCAAAACCTATAGTACTGAGTGTGATAAAGCAGTAGTAGATGGCCTGTGCGTAGGTCCAGCCTTCATACTGTTTGAACAGCAGCATGGGAACCGTGAAATAGAGCACTGATGAGATGAGGAAAAACACAAAATGGATGGAGACCGTCACACATTTCTGTGGGATGATTAGAGACACTGGTTATACATCCAACATCTGAACAGAACAGATAATGTTTATGTGCCATAACTGAAGTTAAGCTTTATAGATAAGTGAAGCTATAGAGATAAGAGCTTACACGACTGTTCAGTTTGTTGCAATAATAATAGTCATTTTACTCAATAGTAATGTATGCACTATAGACTGAAATATAATATTATATATGATTATATAGTATCCTGTAGTATGCATTTTTAAATGCTTGAAGCGCTGTATACAGTATAAGCACAGCTTTTAAATTTGTAACAGAGATTTTGAATATTTTAAAAGTAGTGTGTTTTGTTTAAAGTGTTCATTTGCAATTCACATGTATTAATTCCCTGAATAATGCAGAGAGTGTTTGGAAATAAATTAAAATTTCACCTGGTAGTTGGTCTTTTTTGCAATAAAGTTGCAGAATTTTCTCTCGATGGCCAGCATGTATTTGCCCACTCTGTTTAGGACCACCATGTTAAGTGGGATTCCAAAGATGGCGAAGACCACACAAAAAATCTGACCAGGCATTGTGCTGGGACTCATATTACCATAACCTGCACAGGACAGAACAGCTATTATTATTATTATTATTATTATTATTATTATTATTATTATTATTATTATTATTATTATTATCATTATTATTGAGAAGAAGAAGAAGGAAAAGGAAACGGTTGTCCCTGGTCAAATGATGATTTTTTGATTTTCCAAGTGAAAATAAGTGAACACATCCTCTACAGAGACCACACTTCTGTACATTGTAACGAACAATTACTGTTTATTTGCTGAATTTAACACATTTGGAACAAAAATAAAACATGGCCCATGCAAAAGTTATCCACATTTTCTATTTTAGGTTTTTGTCCAATATGTTAAACTATAGATTACTGTAAAAAAAAACAGAAATTGTGCAGTAAAATTTGCAGAGAAGTGCCACATTTATGTTTATTCCCTGGAATAGTAGTGGGTATAGTGTAGTGGGTAATGACTTTGCTCTCCATGCTGAGGACATGAAGGATTCACTCCCCACTTGGGCAAACACGCTACACTATACCAATAAGAGTCCTTGGCCAAGACTCCTAACACTACCTTTGCAAACCTGTGTAAAATGATCAAATTGTAAGTTGCTCTGGATAAGTTTGTCTGCCAAATGTCGTAAATGAAAAGGAAGTTAACTTACTGTCGAAAATGTCATTTCGACCATTGTTTGGACTTTTCTATTGTACTTTTCATGTTAGTTTTAAAATCTCAAAGTGCTTTATTCAGGAAGATAAGCAACAATTTGGAAAGCAAAAACATGAATGAAAAAGTTCACACTATCAGCGTTTATAGTTCAGTCATTTAAGGATCCCCAGCCAGTCCATGTTTTTATTCTGATCAGTACAAATACCAGGGCAATATGCATAAGAGCAGGTTAAATACAACCCCAGTTCCAAAAAAGTTGGGACGCTGGGCAAAATGTAAATAAAAACAAAATGCAATGAAGTGCAAATGATTTAAAACCTATATTTCATTGAAAATAGTACAAAGACAACAACACATTCCAAAAAAGTTGGGATGGGGCAACAAAAAGCTGGTAAAGTTGTGTAATGCTAAAAAAACCCACCTGAAGGTTAATTGGCAACAGGTCAGTAACATGACTGGGTATTAAAAGAGCATCCTAGAGAGGCTGAGTCTTACAGAAGTAAAGATGGGGAGGGGTTCACCACTCTGTGAAAGACTGCACGATCAAATGCAACAATTCAAGAATAATGTTTCTCAACATAAAATAGCAAAGAACTTGGGGATTTTATCATCTATAGTATATAATATCATTAAAACATTCAGAGAATCTGGAGAAATCTCTGTATGCAAGGGACAAAGCCAAAACCAGTATTTGCTGGCCATGATTTTTGGGCCCTCAGGCAGCACTGCATTAAAAACAGACATGATTCTGTAATCACTACATGGGCTCAGGAACACTTCTGAATACCACTGTCTGTGAAAACAGTTCGTCGCTGCATCCACAAATGCAAGTTAAAACCCTAAAACGCAAAGAAGAAACCATGTATAAACAGGATCCAGAAACGCTGCCACCTTCTCTGGGCCCGACTGAGGGGAAGTGGAAAAGTGTCCTGTGGTCCAACGAATCAGCATTTGAAGTTCTTTTTGGAAATCATGGACACTGTGTCCTCCGGGTTCCCCTCAGTTCCCAAACGCTTACAGAGTGTTCAGAGCAACTGTATTCTTCTCAGTTCCCAAATGCTTACAGAGTGTTGTTAAAAGAAGAGGTGATGAAACACAGCAGTAAACATACCCCCGTCCCAACTTTTTTGGAAAGTGTTGTTGGCATCAAATTCAAAATGGGCATATATTTTTCAAAAAACAATAAAATTTCTCAGTTTCAACATTTGATATGTTGTCTTTGTAGTATTTACCTTTAAAAATATGGTTTACATGATTTGCGTCCACAAAACTAAACGTAACTGTGAGAGGAAAGCAGTTGCATCATCAGACATATCACAAATATGTCTTATGATACCATCTCACCTATGGTTGTGACAACAGTGGCAGCAAACACAGCAGAGCTGGTGAACTTCCAGAAGCCTCCAGATGTGTGGTTCCCTTTCAGACTGAATCCATTCTTAGTCGCTGACTGGATCATCTGGAACAGCACATGGGTCTCCAATGCATTACATTAAAATTACTATAAAATATCTTCCAAGCTACACATCAATATGACAAAAACACCAACTGAGAGACAAGCACTCTAAATGCTTCACGGTATATCTGTACCCAGCTACTTAGCCAGACTGTCCAAAGGGAAGAGGGCTAGGGGCCATTACTACTGGACAGTTTTCAAGTTATCCAGCTTCTTGTTGTCACCACACAAGCACATATGCACAAAAAGTGGAAGAGCCTTTCACCTAAAGCAGTAATCTTCATAACGATGAAATATTTTACTTTGAGTTTTATAAAATCATACTCCAAGAACAAGGGAGGCCAATCTACTGCGCTATTTGCATTGCAAAGTGCATTTGACTATCGCTGCGATTTTTCACATAGCACTAATAGCATTTGGGCTTGAACTTCAGACTGGCAACTCATCGACAGCCACAGAACTGACCACATTCTTACATCATCCTTCACCTTGGTTTCACTCAGTTGCATTTTCCTCTGTCTTATCAGTCACAGAGGATCTCAAAGGGTGGATGTTGTGCCATAGCTGTTTCAAAATGCAGGTGTGCAAACATATTACACACAGTGCCTTCAAAAATCAAGCATATCTCACTGCTATTGCACACACTTTCAGCTCGAGTTAGCCAAGAACTATGTTTAAATCCAAATGATGCCTACAAATCTCATACATTTGAAGAAGCAGGTCAGGTACCAAAGCTTGGAGACGTGATCACTTCTGTTCTGAGCTATAGAAAGACACCCATAGAAGCAGAGTGTGCTCTTAAGAGCCTGAATGCTTTCCCTGTCACCATCCACCTCCTTCGGAGGGCCACCTTTGCTGCTTTATAAGCACTGTGTGTATTCTCCTCTCTTATTTTCTCACCTCTGCCAGTTCCTCCAGGCCCTGCTGGTTCAGACATGGGTAAACCTGGAAAAGGTTGCTCCTCTTCTCCTTCAGAACAGCAATCTGGTTCTGGACCTGTTCCCCTTCCAACTTCCAGAAGACCACCCCTCCAATCAGGACGTATGATAAATACACCACTCCGAGCAGCAGGAGAGACAGGAGTCTGGCTATATTTAGCCTTGTAAAGAACTTTCCAAAATGTATGGAGACCATTTTGGCCCCAGAGTCTTGCTCCCCAGGATTACCAATTTGTGGCTATCACAGAGTGCAAAGGTATTGGGTGTGGATTTACCCATGTTTGTGTGACAGGCAAATCAAGCTGCGCACGCAATGCTCCCGATTCTAAGTCCTTCAAGGCCTCCTATGCAAATGGAGGGTGACTGTGATTTTCAGAGCCACATATGAAGAGAGAAAGTGCTCTGAGGTTTAACCGCTTTCAATTTGCTTGGCAATAGTGTTTAGATTTAGTTATCAAACCATTTAATAGCAATTTACAAATGACTTAAACCACAGAGAGCACCTGTGTAGATAAGCCCATTTCAGTATTTAAGGTTAATGAGCATTTGCACAGCAATGATTGCACGTATTTCCCAAACCAGTTTGATAAAATGTAATAAATGTTAAATTAAATGTGTATTAATATTATTAAGAAACCTTAATAATAGCCATTAATAATAGGCTAAATGGCTGCTTATTTCCCAGCAGCACCTCCTTCCTCGACTCTGAGTTTCCGTGACGGTAACATGGTTGTGTCTCCCGCACATCACAAGCCCAACTAATCATTCTGATGTGTTTGTTTTTTGCCTCATTGCTCAATTTATTGCTGTTATCAAAGCTCTATAAATAAATACACACACACATAAGCTCACTGACCACTTTATTAGCCTACCTTGGATCTACACTTATTATATATTTTATCAGTAAAGCTTACCATATAGGTGCACTTTGTACACCTGTTTCTCTGCATAAAGCTGTTCATCAATTGTCAGGACCCCATAGGACCACCACTGAGCATTTTTTAAACACTGTTTTTACTTACTGTCCACTCTTTTCAACAAACCTGCCTTTTGGGTCCACCTTGTAGATGGAGTTAGAGACGGTAGTTCATCTGTTGCTGTTCTGAGAATGATCTACCACCCAAATAACACCTGCCCAGCAGGGTAAAGGAGGATAAATAATTATTATTAATTATTAATATTTATCTCAGATAAAGAGATGGATTATAATCTGTAATCATAGAACTGCAAAGTGCACCCATATGGTACATGCACTGATAAAATGGACAAAGAGTGCAGATACAGAGCCAGTAATTGTATACCCCTCATTGAGAATCTCGACTTGTTTTCAAGCCTTGAAAATTCAATATTAAGGCTAAACTCACAGCCTCATTGAACGTGAAGTGCTTAAACATTGTTTATGAAAAGCATCCAGTTAAAATGTGGTAATGTCTGACCACAATTAGATTTTTTTTAAAAATAGGCCTCAAAATCTTATTAAGACCTTTCAAAAATCAGTAAAATGTATTTGACTGGTTGCATAATGTTCCAGGGTGTAACCTGAGCCATGTAACAAACAACAAGACAATGCAAATGACATGGCTGATAAAGAATACACAGGGCATGAATGCAAATGGGACGATGCACTAGCGTGGCAAACACGCTGTGCACACGTTTCAGGAATCTAAACTATTATTAGCCAAACCGTAACCTCTCACCCATAGATTGGCTCACAGAGACTTTTAGTTTGGCATCTATTTTTTAAAGTAATGTTGGTTATTTACAACACAATCACAAATAAAAACATAAATGGATTTATGTGGTATTTATAAACCGTGACCTGCTGGGCCCAAATGTTTAGGCCAAGCAGATTTGTACCGTGCAATTTACTTTATTTATTTAATTTCCAGTCAAAATGGCCATTAAATTATTCATTAATCAGGGGATATTTTTGAAGATATTAGACATGCGATAATCCACCTGCATAAGAAGGAGAAAAGTCACAGGAAAATAAGTGAAAAAACAGGAGTTTCCAAAACTGGAGTTTAAAAAAATGATGATAGATAACTGATAACTGTGCAAGACTGGTAGACATCAAAACTGTCCCCATCAGATAAGCAGCACTTAAAGCTTTCATCTTTGAGAGAGAGGAGAAAATCAAGCTCCACTCTTTCTTCAGATCTGAAAAAATCCACAGGTGTCCATCTGTTCATCCTTCCACTGTGAGAAGACAACTCAGCGCTATGAGTCTGAAAAGATGTGTAACTCTCAAGGAGAAATAACTGGAAATAGACAAAAAGAGAAGACATTTTGAGGGTGCTAGTGTCTTCAGAACAATGGACTGACCACCCCAGAGTGAGGAGAGAAAATGCAACCAACTTCTAAGACTGAACTTTGGAGGTGTGGAAAAATATCCCTGCAGATTTCTTCAAAAAACTGAAAGCAAGTCTGCTGAAAAGAACAGAAGCTGTAATAAAGGTGGAGACACTAAATACTAAAAAAGGTTATTATATTTAGTTGAGGCTTCTGTGTTGTTTTCTCTGAAATGTATTCTGATTTTTTTCTAACACTGAAAAATGAAAAACCTACTTACAAACTTAATGGCTGTTTTAACTGCAAATTAAAAAGATGAAGAGGGGTCTCTGACTTTTGCACTGTACTGTACAAATCATGTTAGGTCTCTCAGTAAATCTGGATTCAGAAATCAGAGGCTAGATAGTTGACACTGATAAACAGCAACATAGCATTGCATGAAATTAGTACAGCAAATACAGCATAAGCAATAAAATTCTACATCTGTCTTCTTATGTTGGTGCATTAATTTAACATACAACAACAAATAATGCCAGGCTTTCTAGAGAACATGTAACATTAGTCACAGTTTCCATCCATGGCAAAAACAAGGAAACAAACAAACAAACATGTACAGCAAACAAACCACTCTACAAAGTATAAGCAAATATTCACAATTTGAAACATCTTAAACGTTGATGTATGACATCTAGAATTTACTGTACGCTGTGCATAATGTTCCGCTCCCACAGTGGCCTGTGTGCTGACATCTAAAAAACAGTACAGGTGAAATGCATGATCGTACAGCTTTACAGCAGTGGATATGTAATTTCCTGACAGCACTGATTTTACAGAAGTCCTCTCATTTAGGTTCTCTGCTGGATGGCTCTCTGACTCAGGCCCTCCTCCTGCTTCCTGGCTGAAGGCCTTGCCTCGTCTCCGCCAGCAGCTGGCTTTTTAAGATCAAGAAAATGCTCAATGATCCTGGCGCCCATGTTGAGGAGAAGAGCGAGCCAAGCCAGAGCGAAGATGATCCACACGGCGGTCAGACTGCGGTACACTGAGACATTTTGCCTGTCCTGGCCATTGCCTGACACAGAGCAATACTACAAATCAAACCCATTTAAAGTGTACATTGGTAGACATCTACATATTCCGAAGTATGTTAATATTGGGTAAATTCAGGTATTTAAGGATACTTCAGTTTAGCTCATTTAATCTATTTAATTCTATTCATTTTACTAATTCTAGAGAATAAAGTAAGAGATTTGTCATTCATGACTTGTGTTCCATATTACCAAAATACATAAACTCACTTTATATACTACAAGTATTCAGGTTAACACTTTACAGTTACACTGATAAAAAATGTGTTTGTTGTCATATCAAAACTTGCTATTTACATTTTTTCAAATATTATTATTCTTTATTTTTAATTTGATGATACCAGATTGACCAATAGAAATGTCCCAAAATACTCATAATAATATTGTTACATTAACATACATATATTTTAAAAAAAAACTGTTCCATGTCCTGTAAAGTTATCATTTTGGAGATGTGAGGTTTTATACAAAAGCAAAGTTTTTTATTTTACTAAAATCATTAACTAGAATTATATAATATAATATAATATAATATAATACAAATAAATAATACAAGAAAGTAATATAATTTAAATAATAACATTGCTATCAGGACAAAAACTAAATCTAAATTTTTGTAATTTTTTTTTATTTCTATAATTTGAAAACATCTTCTGCACTTTACACTATGTGAAAACAGAAACGGTCCAAAATGTCCAAATGACGAAAAAACTTCCACTTTAAATTTAAATGTTTCTTTTTTCTTCTGAAAAGTTATTATTTCGGAGAAAGTCACGTTTTTTAAATTAGATCATTTAATTAGATATAAATTTACTAATATGAAGCAGAGAAAAATGAGGCTGCTTTACTGGGGACGTCAGAAAGTAAACAGCACTCACCAACCACAAAGTCTCCAAAGCCGATGGTGCTGAGTGTAATGAAGGCGTAGTAGAAACCCTCTCCATATGACCAGCCCTCCATGTAGCTGAAGATGAGTGGGGGGAAGACCAGGAAGAGCGTACTGCCCATCAACAGGAACAGGACCACGGCCAACGCCTCCACACACTGCTGTGCTCAAAACACACAGTCAGAATCATCTCAGGCTTTTACTCACATTAATTTAGGATTTAAATTGTGAGAATTTGAGAGATTTGTCACAAAACAGTTACATCCTAAAAACAACTGGTGCCACTTATGAGCTAAGCCAGTCTGTTATATATTCATTATCATATTTTTCATATTTTGTTCCATGTCCTAAAAAGTTATAATTTTGAAGATGAGTTTTTACACAGAAGCAACATTTGTTTAGTAGAATAATTAACTAGAATAATATAAAAATGATAATATATAATGAACAAATATTACAATAAAATAATATAATTTCAATAATAACATTGCTATCAGGAGAAAAACTAGTCTCTCTGATTACAGACACTGTTTTAGAGAAAGCTTTACTGTATTACCTTATGAGGCACCACTGAGACCATGTTGTGCTCCAGGTGTCCCAAATGAAGAGCCAGACACTTGCTGAGCTGGTTGAGAAAGGCCAGGTTGAGGGGTATCCCACACAGGGCGTAAAACACACAGAACACCTGCCCCGGGAACGTGGTGGGAGAGAGGTTTCCGTAGCCTTTTGGAAATATAACATCTACATCAATGCCCACCATCAAACACACACTCTCTGATCTAGAGGTGAACACTATACCACTAAGCAGTAGGGTGGAAAGTACTGCTTGCGTTCGAAGTGGACTTTGTAGTGTTACCATACTTAAGTATTATTTTGGAGGATGTGTAATTTACTCGAGGATTATCAAAACTGAATGCTTGTACTTTTACTCATTTATGTTTCCAAGAAAAAAAATTCTTTACTCTCAGAAACCATCTCTGTTAACAATCAGTCAAATTTCTGTGCATTTTACTGCATTGATTACCATCTATTAGTCTCCACCTCATACACCACCACACAAACGCAGAAAAATTCATTTATCTGTCAAAACATTTACTTTTATATACTTGAGTATGTTTCAATTTATAGTCACTCCTGTTAAAAGTAGGTTTTGCTGCTTTGCGAAGTAAAAAATAATGCATCACCTACAGAAAACAAACTTAAATATAATAGTTTTTCTGCAAATTTTAGTGCACAATGTCTATTTATTTGCTGAGTTTAATGTATTGAAAAAAAAAGGAAATTTAAAATGTCATCATTTTTGCCCAAATCAAATATTATGTTTTTATATTCGTTTCCAATAGGTTAAGTTCAGCAAAAAAACAATAAATGTGCATTAACGTGCAGAAGTGTGTTCTCTGTAGAGGACGTGTTAACTTTTTTTTTACTTAGAAAATCAACAAAACATGTGAACTGTAGCACCAAAACTTTTGCATATGATGGTAAATACATTTGTACTTTCACTTTTATACCTTTACTTTTAATTAGGCACATTTTGACAAAGTACTCATACTTGCGATTTCTCTGTACTTTTTCTAATTTTACTCTTTTTAATTTTAGAGACCACACAATCCATCGATGTAAAATTGATATATGCTGTCGGAACAAAACCTCGTATCTCCATTTTTGTTGTTTTTCAGGTTTTTTACATAATCTGAAAATGTCTGTTGCTCTTTACATTGTGTGTACATTTTATGATGAATGGGAAAAAAAGAAATGGCTTCAGAATTACTTGGATAAAAGTCTGGTTCCATTGACTTACATTAAAAGTAAAGTATGGTTTTTGCTTCTCCTGTAAAGTTACCATTTTGGAGATATGAGATTTTGTTCTGACAGCAGTGATAAATGTATATCCACAAAACTCTCCCCAGAATAGTACCTTTATCTCCAAAATAGTAACTTCTTAGAAGGAAAATGTGTGTTAATGTATGTCAATGTAAGGAGATCAAAGCTCTGTTCATTCAATCATGAACACTTTTTGTGTAAAAATGTAAAAAATGCTGAAAAATTATAAAGAAAAGTACAGGAATTTTTGTTAGACAGCAACTGAATAAATATGAACATGGAACTTACCAATAGTAGTGACCACTGTCCCTGCAAAGAAGAAAGAACTGCCAAAGTCCCAGTTGCTGGGGTTAGTGGAATTTCCTGAAGGATTCACCCCATTTCCCCAGGCATCTAAAATCACCTGCAGCAAAACAGAAACAATCCGATAAGAGTTTCTATTACTGGGGAAAATAAATCAGCAATATCTCAGATATAACATAGGTAGCTATGAAGAGCAGCACAGTAACCTGTACAAACTTCTCCAAGGCTGATACGTCCAGGCAGGTGTAGTTGGTCAGGAAGTAGAGCTTCTCCAGCTGGAAATTGTTACGGTTGCTGCTCTCAGCCTCTCTCTCCAACAGCTGGAACACGGTGGCCCCCAGCAGCAGGTAGATGAACTGGCACAGTGCGAGCAGAGTGGTGCAGCTAAACTTCTCACCCGTAATCCGGAGCTGAGCCATGTGTGCCCACACGCATACAAGAGAGCGCCGAGAGAGCACGCTGTGGGCTGGACCGCTCCGGAGGGTGATCCTGCTGGACAGTGTGGATTTCAGTGTGACAGAGCTTCTTAGATCCTAAAAAAGTCTTAGGACCAGAGGATATTATGTACTAGTAATATAAAGTACATGTCCATCTTTGCTGTTAAGCTAAATAAAAATGGAAAAAGTTTGGCTCAATAAAAGAAACAGCGCTTTAAGATCAACCGTATCTATCTATTAAATAACTAGCTGTATTTCTCATATACAGCACCCTACCTGTTAAATACCTCAATACGCCCCAATATAGATTTATGGATTTGAGAAGTCAGTAGTCAGTAGCCAGTAGTCAATGGAAAAGGTCCAGAAGGAGATGGAGGAGTGGGACCAGGGTGTGAGGAGTTTTTCTTCATTCTGATTGGTCAGAGCGAGTCTAAACGGATGTTTGACAGAACTGCGTGTGTCTCACTGGTTCCTGTGACAACGACTGAGCATGAATCCCATAATACGGAGCAGGAGCCGTCTCACACAAGCTCATTTATCACTAATAAAAACGCAGGAGTACCACCATGTCAGCAGAACATTGGTTAATGTTTCATCTGATGGCTGCGGATCGTTCGAGCGCACAGCATTAGCGGGTGAGCAATTAATCACCCTCTGCTGGTGTTATTCCCTCTGGACGGATGTGACCGAGGGGAGTCTTCCAGTGTAAAACCTCCAGTGTTACAGCCTTATAGGCAGGGTGTACATTCAAGGCTTGATGGTACAGACAGCAGTGTTTTCATGTAGAGGATGGCACTAAGAACTAATTTTAATATCATTTAAAGTGGGAATTCCAACACTTTTTTCCAAATTCTAAATATAAGCCAAATCATCCAGAGTGGTTTAAATGCTCCACCGAGAAACTCAGATTTCTTTACAGTTGTGATGATGGGAACCAGGGGTTGCGATGTCTACAATACAAATATAACCATTTACCAGTGTACCTACATGTGCCTTCAGAGTTTTTGTATGTAATGCTGATGATGGTAAAATAGTGATAAATCTGAAAAGTTATGTTTTCTTTGGGGGCTTTTTTGCCTCACAACACCCTGCATGTAGCGGTTCACCAAGAGTGAGTTGTGAAAAAATTAGTTTCATGCTGAAACTTTATTTCAAAACTACCATAAAATAATGTCTCAGACATCAGGCAGCGTATTCATAACCATTTTATGTAATAACTTTCTGTGAGGGAGTTTTTAGAGGCATTAAGCTTTTTAGACGTCTGGTTCCTATCACCACCACTGTGAACAATTCTGATTCTGGAAGATTCTCTACAACAGAGGATTTCACACCAAATCACTCTGGACAACTTTGCTTACATCTTAATCAGGCAGACAATCTGTAAAAAATTTCCCGTTAATAATATCAACGTCCAAAAATGGAAATCGGAGAGAATTAGGTCAGATAAAAGTACTGAGCTCATATCTATAATCTCTACAAAAGTCTTTCAGGGTTACTGAAACTTTATTATTGTTAATTGGTCTGAAGATAAGGATGACAGAGGTTGCAGTGCAGTAGAAACAGAGCAGTAAATCTTTTATCTGGGCCAAATGTACAGATGGTTTTTCCAAACTTTAATAAGCCAACATTGGACCTCATTCACCAATATCTTCCTAAGTTTGTTCTTAAATGTGTTCTTGAACAAAAAAGTCCTAAGAAAAAGTCTATGTCAGATTCATGATGTGTTCTTAAACCGTGCATGTTCACACCTTTGTGCTCTTGAGTGTGTAGATTCTGTTCTTACCCAATAAACTAATCCCAAATAAGGAAACACTGGTGAATGACAGAATCTTCATGAAAACTGTTTAAGTGGGTTTTAAGAAGAAACTTCTCCTTAAGAACGGTTGGTGAATATGAAGCCCTGCTGGTGACATCATGTACAAATAAAAATAATGTGTGGCCACAACTTAGTAAGGTGTGGGAATGAGATTATTAAATTATGGCCATGACTTAGTAAAGTGTGGGACTGAGATTATTAAGTTACAGCCACGACTTAGTAAGGTGTGGGGACGAGATCCTGATGCATGGCCACGACTTAGTAAGGCATGGGAATGAGATAATTAATTCATGCCCACAACTTAGAAAGGTGTGGTGTTGAGATCCTAATGCGTGGCCATGACTTAGTAAGATGTGGAAATGAGATAAATAAGTCATGGCCATGACTTAGAAAGGCATGGGGACGGGATCCTAATGCATGGCCACGACTTAGTAAGGCATGGGAATGAGATAATTAATTCATGTCCACAACTTAGTAAGATGTGGGGTTGAGATCCTAATGTGTGGCCACAACTTAGTAAGGTGTGGGAATGAGATAATTAAGTCACAGCCACAACCTAGTAAAGTGTGGGGATGAGATCCTAATTTGTGGCCACAACTTAGTAAGGCGTGGGAATGAGATAATTAAGTCATGGCCACGACTTAGTAAGGCATGGGGATGAGATCCTAATGCGTGGCCATGACTTAATAAGGCATGGGAATGAGATAATTAAGTTATGGCCACGACTTAGTAAGGCATGGGGAATGAGATCCTAATGCGTGGCCATGACTTAATAAGGCGTGGGAATGAGATAATTAAGTTATGGCCACGACTTAGTAATTTGTGGGAATGAGATAATTAAGCCTTGACCACAGCTTAATAAGGCATGATCTCATTCCCACGCCTTACTAAGTCAGGCCACGCGTTATTGTTATTTATCCAGCAGGGCTCCGTTGATGAAAGACACAATATTGTTAAAATACTCTCTATACCACAGAAATCAGACTGAGTCGCACATAAAGAGAGAGAGTGTTCATATAGGAAGCATGATGTCTTAGAACATCTTAAGACTATATTCATGCTAAAGCTGTGATTTTGTGTGGGCCAGCTTTGGGGACAGGGTGTGTCAAAATGTATATAAAGTTATATAAAAAGTCAGAAAAAAACACTCAATATGGACTGGCTCTGTAAGCGTGAGGCTGAAGCAAGTGCTCTCTGATGCAAATGCTTTTTCAGCTGCTTGTCTTTCAAACAAATCTATTCAGAGAAATGCAAAATACGTTTTGTGGAGGAAAACGGACAAACCTCCTCAATATTTCCCAAACTACCACATTTTCCCAATATGTAGACTTATTTATAGCTGCCATGTCTACTTTATAATACTGCTACGGCAGTTAAAAGCCAGAGGCTGTTACATCACCATGCTGTCCATTAAAATGGAAATATTCAGGTTCTCTCAGTTGGTACTTTCCATGTAAGTGTGTCCCTTGTGGGCGGAGCCTAATAAAGCAGCTTTGGCATGATTCAGTATTTTCTCACTGATGTTTTAAGAAGAAATCCAGCTGATTGGATCTAATGAAGTCACAGACACAGTGTAATTAGCCAAACAGAGAGGACAGACACATCTGTTACTGGTCACAAGAACAGGCAGTTTTACAATGGAAACAAGCAGATCATAACAATGTAAAGGAAAGTGCTTGTATTTTACGGGAATTACTTTTATATCGAGCAGACGAAGAACAAAATCAATAAATCAACATGCCGGGAAAAGACAAAACAAATAAAATACATGATTTGATGACTCTGGTAAACAAGTCTAGGCCTTGGCAGGCTGACAGACATCTGATCCAGTTAGCGCCGTGTGATAGCTTGTGAAAACATTTGCTCAGGTTGGATAAGTGCCTTTACCAGTGATTTATGCTGCTGCTAGGCTACAGCCTACTGCGGAGACATCCGACCTGTCGCTTTCTAGAATGTTCTCTTCCATTAGGCAGCAAGGAAGCTGCAGGCAGGTTGTTTATGTTAAGCATGCAACAATATTGAACTTTATATATATATACAATGGTGATTGTCTATATGAATATGCTTTTAGATCATGTGATTCACCAATAAGGGCTTTAGTGCAGAGTTAAAAAAGCTGTAGGGCACTAAAATTGTGCTTTACAGCTGATTCTCCCATTGATGAAATGTCTTTGAATCCTATTTGTTAGGTAAACAAACTTCAGTTTCTTCTTCATTGTATATTCTGTTGTCCTTGAGTTCACGCAGTCTTCATTTTGGTGCCAGTCCTGAAAAAAAGTGACAGAGTGACAGTACATTTAAACTTCCACCAAAGTTAAAGCATAGGCTTAAATAGAAATTAAAATTGCAAACAAATTAAAGTTAAAAAAATTAAGAAATAGTGATGGTTTTCTTTTTTTTCTTGGATTGCAACACGACAGAAGACACTAGCATGAATCAGCATGTGTTTCCACTGATTGATGTAATAATAATAATAATAATAATAATATTTTATTATGTAGCACTGTAATTTTAGTTACAAAATCACAAAGTGCTTTACCAAGGACTATAAATAAAACATTGGAAAGATAAAAACACTACTCAATAAATGAAAATAACAGCTCATTTACAAACATGAGAAAATAAGACACAACACTCTAGACCTGGGTGTCTCAACCTTTTGCAATGCGTGACCCACATAACCAACAACAAAAGTTTTCATGGTCCACAAGAAGATTTATCATCTATACTCTGATACCATGAGGATAGTGGGCCACTGTTGGCCCGCTTATGGCAAAGCTTATGGTCCACTGGTGTTTTGCTCAGCATTTTCTGTGCGGTCCACCGGTGGTTAAGCAGAATATTAGACAAAATTCCTCTTATCATTGTTCATTTTTCCCTCACACTCCAATTTACTTATTTTTCCTTCCTTCCTTTCTTTAGTTATACTTTGTAAATTAGTTTAGTAAATAATTTTGATCTGTCACAGTTTTTGTTCTAAAATAAAAGGCTATGTGAATTTAAAATCTGTTTGGGGAGATTAAAACTAGTTAGAGCTTTTATGCAGGACAATAATCTGGGTGATCCGAGGGTGGACCAGCAGTGGCAAACAGTCAATGGGGTGCCCATCTTATCAAGCCAGTGGACATATATGCTCTCTATCTGGGTAGTAACAAGTGCTAAACCATAATTTTATTCTTGGGGTCTGCTAGAATAGATTTACATGCTTCAATGTTTCAAAAACACAATAATTTTCTAATACTGTTCATGTCTATTCACCCACTGCCTGAAATGCTCTGATGGAGCTCCTTTGTCTTTGAGCACCATCTCCTGATAAACCCAGTGTGCTCTGATTGGTCAGCTTGCCCACTCTGTTCTGGTTGGTCAACCGTCAGAGCGGTTGAACGCGGTAGCTCCATCCTGCTACTCATTCTGCTCCTACATGTTCCGCCCCTGTCTTGCAGTCTGCAGACAGACCTTCTCTCCTGGGCAGTTGTAAACACCGCTGTGGCTATTCTTACAATGGTGTCGGTTCTGCTGTATCAGTTTGAGTCAGGAGTGCCACCTGAACAAACTGAAAAAAACTGAATTAAC